AATTAGCCTCTCAGAGTTTATATGGTAGCTTCCAACTTATCTGTATGTGTATATACATATATCTTACTATATGTTGCATTCTATGCATCCGATGAAGTGGGCTGTAGCCCACGAAAGCTTATTCTCTAATAAATTTGTTAGTCTCTAAGGTGCCACGAGTACTCCTGTTCTTTCTAAGGACACAGACTAATACGGACACAGACTAATACGGCTGCTACTCTGAAACCTGCCATATGCATAAGTGTTTAAAGTGGTAGAACACTAGTTTTGACTGGCAGGAGGAACTCCAGGTTTTTTTCTGTATGAATTTCAAAACATGTTAGATAAACTCATGGTAAGAGTGATTTAAAGCAAACAAAATGTGCTCTGTAAGTACACTGCAGTGACATTCATAAATAGTCATATTATAATGTAAAAACTAAAAAGACTTAAAAATAAAGCATATGTATAATTAACTCAACATCTTCCTTTCAGAACTGTTTTTGATCACCTTGGCAATATGGAAATAAATATCAGTGAACAATTGCACCAATAAGTCAAGCACAAAACAATTAAACTACAGATCTTGAATGTGAAGAATAAATTTTCAGAACACTTTTATAGCTAGAACTGTTACTCCTGTTTTTGAGTGTTTGTAAACTTTATTTTGTTCCTAAATGTTGTACATTTCTTTCTAAAGAGAAGCAGTGTATTAAAAAATCCCACTTTTTTGTCTGAAAATTATTTACTTACTGTAACAAGTAGTGCCTAAGATCAATTTAGATGTACTTTAACATTGCCTAAATGTTATTTATACAGTATCATAAATGTGTATGCTGTTTTATAAAATATGACAAGATTACCCGCAGCCATTTCACATATTCCATGTTGTTGTTATGACTTACTGTGTTTTTATGGTAGTGCTCACAATGTGCTTGGTGCTTTCCAAACACTGAAATATGATCTCTGCTCTGAGGAGTTTACAGTGTAAGGATAGACAAGTGCACAGAGGTTAGGGGAAAGGAAACACGTGTGACAGATATGGCATTTTCCTGCAATATCCTTGGGAGACCTTATGGAATTAACTTTAAGTATCTTTGGGGTCCATTGTATTAATGAATGTACGAATGGTTTATGTTTTATTGTGGGCCGGGATTGTATGTGACACCTCGGGAGAGAGGGGATGCGATGTGAGACCTGGGTGTTCAAAAGACTATATTGAACAATGTGCCACGTAAGAATGCACTTTTGGAACAAAGTGTGTTAAGTGGTTTCCCTGGGGAATATGTAGGGGGTGGTGAATGCAAATTCCCCACCTCCGATGATGCCAAAACTCAGCCCTTTGAAGCTGTGCCTTCAGGGGTGGGCCATTGTCTGCTGATTACTTGTTACAAGAGATCAAGATCAAAGACCCAAGTTGTTTAAAGGAAAGACTGAGCTATTCATTGTAACTTTGAATCTGAGACAGTTATGAACTTGCAACCATGGGGGAAACCCCGTTGTGGGTTTTGAAGAACTGATACCTATCAGAGAACTAGATTGAAGTTGGGGGGTAATCTCTGGTAAACTTTTTGTATGTGTGTAGGTTCTTTTATTGTTTTCTGTATCATGTTCACACCTTAAGAATAAATGTGCTTGCTTAGAAAGAGCTGGTAACTGTGGCAATTATACTATTCATAGCCTCTGGCAAGAAAGCAAAGTGCTGACCTAGCTTGTTTAGGCAGCCTGGCTTGCTGAGGATAGCACAGTTTAGGCAGGGAATTGTGCAGCCTGGGAAAACCCCATTCAGGAGGGAGAGGGACATGGGTCTCTGAGGACCCTTGAGTGAACGCCCTTAGTGGACCATGGAGGGGGAATATAGGCAATAGGCACAACACGCTCCTCACATACAGGTCATTTTAATTTACTGTCAGCACCGTGGCAGGAGTCTTCAAGAGGAATTTGGACGCGGCAGGGCAAGGGCACTGCAGGTGAACTTGAGCTGTACCATGCATAGGGGTACATGTGGATGAAGACATAGGGGTAATTTTCATGAAAAGCTGAAGGAAAAGTGAACAAGGCCGAGAGCATTGGTAGAGCAGAGGATACTGTCCCTGTCAATTGTGTGGTGCTGAGTAACATGAATTAACTTTATTCTGATCTCAGTTCCACTTACATTTCAAATCTGACTAGCTTCAAGCAGAAGCCTTTAAAAAAAAAAAAAACAACCTGCCATTGAAATGCTCCTTCTTGTCTTCTAGAAATGGAAGGCAACGCCCTTCCACCCTTGTCTCAAAATCATACGGCTCTGAGGTGCAAGCTGGGAAATATGTTTATGTATAAAATTCTTCTTCTTCTAAAGCTTGTGCAGTTGTAGTTCTGTACTAAGGAAGCCTGACTTCATAGAAATAATAAATATTGGCACTAACGGTTTCTCAAACTTCTTAAAATACTATTTCTGTAATACGTACAGGCTATGTCAAATGTCTGATTGGGGCAGTATTTTATCAATTTTTTGATTGGCATGCATTTGGGATGACTTGCATAACTCGTGATGGGCCCATCCCATACTCAGACTGACTAAGGGTACATTTACACTGCAATTAGACACCCATGGCTAGCCCACACCAGCAGACTTGGGCTAAGGTGCTGTTTAATCGTGGTGTAGACATTTGGGCTCGGGCTGCAGCCCTACGTCTGGGACCCTCCACACTTGCAAAAGCCCGAGCCTGAACATCTACAGTGCAGTTAAACAGCCCCTGAGCCTGAAACCCAGAAGCCTAAGTCAGCGGGCATGGGCCAGCCGCAGGCTTTTAATTGCAGTGTAGACACACCCTAAAACCTCTACACCACACTGTCATGTATTCCTTATATCTATTATATAATGTTGCAGTATTTTATCACTGCTTGTTGCACTAAACTGTTTAGGCTAAAATTGTGCCAGCCCTTATGTAGCTGTATGTGTGCGGATGGAATAAGGAGCCTTTCCCCAATCATTGCCCCAGCACAATGGGGAACTCCAGGCAGTACTGTGCCTTGTGGAGGCAAAAGCCTCCCAGTGCTCTGCACTACTCTATTACAGGCTGGAGCTAAACACATGTAACCCTTTATCCCTTTTCCCCTCTCAGCTATGCTTAAAATATATACATCCACAATGGCTGATGTATTTGCAATTTGCAGGTGAAACCATGTGGAAAAAATAACCATTATTTCTGTGGGTCAATTCAGGAGCATAGTCCATAGTTCTGCTTCAAATGCAGACTCTCTCAAGGTAAATTAAAAGGATCAGAAGGGCACATTAGAACTGAGGTCATGTTTCTGAGTTACGCTGTCATCCCATTAAACTGAAACACAGTTCTCCCCATTAATTTCTTACACAAGGCAAGACATCCCAATTAATATTGACACATTTTAGAAAGACAAATTTTCATAATAAACTTTGTGGCCACCTGTTATGGGTTTTGGTACATTAGTCATGCTGCTTTTCATGATAAACATAGTAGTGTCCTTGTCCTTGTTGCTCTTTATTTTTCGTTTCAAGGCAAACCAGTTTTTAAGTGTAGTGTTGCTGTGAAGTGTGGAGAGAGAGGTGAAACTGTTTTTCCGGGTAAGCATATGCATTAATTCTTTAAATTGCTTTGGGGAACAGGAAACGCTGGTTGCTATTAGTATAAAACTAAATATTTTAAATGATGTAGGTGTGTATTTTTATTATTGCCTAATCCAAATCCTTTAAGCTATAGCTTTCTTAAGGTAGGACAGAGCAGTAAGTATAGACCTGATTCTTATTCCCATTGAAATCAAGAAGTGCTTTCGGTGACTTCAACAGGAAGGGAGTGGGTAATTGTAACTGAATTCAAAATATAGTTCTGCAACTTAACATGTTAGGGCTTAAAGCCATTATAGTCAATGGAAAACACCCAGTGATTTTCAGTGGATTTTGGATTATGAACTTAGTGTAGCACAGTTGAAATGGACAGTTAGGGGTTTAGGCTGCGATTACTCAAAGCAGCCTAAGGGAGATCTCTATTTGAAATTCCAATCTCTAGTTTCCTAACATGATTGAGGCTTATACTCAATGCTGATGTTGTTAGAGGTATCCTCTCTCTGTCTGCCCTTGATGCTTGCTCATCTGGAATTTAACAATTCCAAGGTAACTCCTGAGCAGGAGGGATTCCATTGAATTTCAGGCTTCATGTGAGTTAATTTTGAGTTTTGTAATATCTGCTGTATTACTGTGCCAGAATGTAATTAATTATTTAGTAAAATGCTTTTTTGATAGACTTAGAGTGCTTTATAAAACCAGATCTATTCAAATGTACATTTGTATTATGAGGCTACATTTCTAAAGCAATATTTGTCCTGGAATTCAAGAGCGACCCACACCAAAATCCTGGATTCAAACACACTTTGGGGTCTGAAAGCTCATCCCTGATCTGAATTGTACAAATGGCCCCCTGTCATATGAATACACTGATTCAAAATCCCAGATCCAAACACCCTAAAGTTCAAGATGCTAGAAGTATAGATTCAGATTAATATTTTACAGCTACAGATCATTTAGAATAGTATATACCACCCCAGATAAAATCAAGCACAGCATGGTGTTTTCTACCACATACAAGTGTGGTAATACAGCTGTGTGTACATATTCGTTGCTAGCATCAATTAAATGGATCAGTTACTTAACTGATTGCACAGAATAAAGGACATTCCTTTTCCCTTCCTATGACTTGTTAAAGGATAACTTCTAACTGTGGTAAACAGTGAACTTACTATGGGAACACTACATACATCATGCCAAAGGTACACAGAATGATACTTGCAAACAATCTTTAAATATTCACGTTAACCTACTCTTATATAGGTTTTTGTTTATCAAGATTAAACCTCTTTTCAGGTATAGAAGTTTACTTTATGGGATGATTTACATAAGATTCTATTAGAGATCAAAGGTAACATTTCCTTGTGTTAAAAAGTTTCTTTTATACTGGGTGTATAGTTTATGGGTGAGATAAAGAAATTGACCAATAGAACTACGGGAAGGAGCTAGATGCTGTTTATCGTAACTTCTTAGAGAAGTGTGGTAGTATGAAGTTAAATCACTATTCTGGTTTTTATAATGTGATTTCAGTTCCAATCATTCAGAGGGGAAAAAGCTGCAATAAACTGTGCTACGATGAGAAGTGCTTTATTTCAGAGCCTTCTCTTGATTACAGCTGGAATGTCCTTAACTTGCAGCCCCATCTCTAATCCTATGGCTGACAGCACTACCCAACTTGCAGTGGAGCTATACCAAGTTCTTCATTGTTCTCCTAAAAAGGAGAACATCATACACTCACCACTTGGTGTTGCTTTACTTCTTGGAACGGTGCAGTTGGGGGCAAAGGGAAAAGCACTTAAGGAGATAAGACAAGCTTTGAAACTGCAAGGAAATAAAGATGGTGAGTATCGCTTGATCTACTGTCATTCATGCTGTGTAATAATGGTGAAACACACTGGTGAGTGGCATTTAGTACCCAGCTCATGTCACATGACATGACTGTCAGGGTTTTGAATGATTATATCACTGTCACATGGCACTAGCTCCTTTTGCTAGATCTCATTCTCTTATCTTAAAATGCATATAAAATATCAATCTCAAACTAATGAAGCTAACTAGTAAAACAGAAATGGACATATCTAAGATGCAGAACAGGGTAGAGGACATTGGCCAGTAGCTACCATCTCTGATCCTCAGTTGCTTTCTGATCACATAGACATTTCTTGTTCTCAGAACAGGTTCTTCCATAGCAGCCAGCTCAGTCACTGAAATGGATACCATATCATGCCATCCTTACTTCTGTGCTTCTGCTGGCAGCGATGCTGCCTTCAGAGCTGGGCTCCCGGCCAGCAGCCACCACTCTCTGGCTGCCTAGCTCTGAAGGCAGCGCCGCTGCCATTTGTAGCACAGAAGTAAGAGTGTACCCCCCTACAATAACCTTGCAACCCCCCCTCCCACCACGACTGCCTTTTGGGTCAGGACCCCTACAGTTACAACACCGTGAAATTTCAGATTTAAATATCTGAAATCATGAAATTTGTGATTTTTAAAAATCCTATGACTGTGAAATTGACCAAAATGGACCGTGAATTTGGTAGGGCCTAATACATTTTATATATACAATTTGCATAGCACCTTATCCATTAATCGTCCCATTGAAGTCTTGAGACTACTTACGGAGTGCAGTGCTCCCAAACATGAGTTAAGAGTATCAGAATCTGGCCTATGGGGTATAAGAAGTCAACTCCAGCCACGCACCCCTGGCCTCCACTTCCTTATTTATATTTAATATCATCTTAATGAAAAGTAATAGGAAAGTCATTACAAGTTTCAAAAATAACCCTACAGTAGGTAATTCTACAGTGAAAAAGACTTACAAAAATTTGTTGGCTAAATGATTTTAAAATGTGTACATTTTGTACAAAAAACACTGCATTCTTAACAGCTAGAAGTAGAAATAATTGAAGCCCATGTTCAATTACAGGTTCCAGGAAATGTAGTAAGTCCATTTTAATTGCTTTGAATAGTTTTAATGCAATCTGTCCTAATAGAGATCATTGATCTGCAGATCAAATCCAATGTGCAAAGGACATTTTTAACACTTTGTTTGGTACAATGGTCTTTTCCCATAGACTCCCAAGAATAATGACTTATCAAGGGACAGCTGGGCATTTATAGCTACATTTGTAGATCTTCAGTGCATGACATAAATCCATTCATTCAAGAAGATGATTATTAACCATTTTAATTTTTTTAGAAAATATTTAAACAGACAAGTTACTTAGAAAATCAAGTCTCTGACCTCTGCTATGTGTCATGCTGCCAGTCACTGGCAGAAAGGGATGTTTCCAAAATGCCTATGCAATGCAATATGGCACTAACAGAAACTAGTTAGAGTGGGTGGTTACAACACTGAATGGATTTCATATCTCCGTGTTGTTAAAAGATGTGACACAACAGGAGAGGAATAGAATGAGATAAACCTGGGACATAAGAGGGAAGATACCTGTAAAAAAATGCAGCTTGCAGTGCATTAAATTATAGAGTTAAATGAATCCTTGAAGCCAAAATTCAGCCCTGTTATAATAAGTGACTTCAGTGGAGTTACTTCAGGAATTTATTTGGCCTGGGAACTATAAAAAATCAAATATGTAATCAGTATATTGTGGATTTTAAAGTGTAACTACACTCGGTAGGGGTGCCCCGTTATCCGCCCCCCAGGGTGTCTTTCAAAGATAAGGTTAGCCTGAGCATGTGCAAGTGACTTCAAAAATCTTCTCTATCAGACATGTTACCAATGCTGAAAGCCATACAGAGTCAGACACTTGGAATACGCAACTCATAGTATCTATTTAATTAGTGCACCAGTGAGATTCATTCACCCTGTCTTAAAATATATTTAGTTCATGCTTTGCTTATTCAATATTATCCTCCGAAGGAGGACATAGGTTAAAAGAGCCAGACTTTGCCACCCTTACTCACACTGAGTAGTACCTTACTCTAGGTATAATCCCACTGATTTCACTGGCCCTGCTTGTGGAGTAAGGTACACCCAGTGAGAGTAAGGAGAGGCATAATCTGTCTCTGCACTAAAGCTGGTGATGTGAATTAATCTTGTATGTGTAGGCTAATGCATGTTGTTCCTTATATAGAATATGTTTATACCTTTCACTCAAGAGGACCAGGAGAGAGAATGGTTTCAGTGGGATGTGAAGGAGGTATGCATGGGAGAGTTTTGAGTGTGGGAGAGAACAAGAGGAGTTCCTACTTCTCTCTCTCTACCCCCACTCCTTCAACAAGCAATCCCTGTCACTTTCAGAATTGAACTTTGTGGGGGTAGCATTTGCCCCCTTAGGGTTTTCCAGTCTTGAACCCTTTTGTTGTAGTTTACTTCCCTGTATCTGCAGGTGGCTTGTGCCACAAAAACATTCTTTTACGACACTGACAGGGATGGTTGGAAGAAGACTGGTTTTAAAACCACTGACAGTTTTGAAGAATATTGTCAAGGTTCCTCCCTCACTCTGAACTCCAGGGTACAGATGTGGGGACCTGCATGAAAAACCTCCTAAGCTTATCTTTACCAGCTTAGGTCAAAACTTCCCCAAGGTACAAAATATTCCACCCTTTGTCCTTGGATTGGCCGCTACCACCACCAAACTAATACTGGTTACTGGGGAAGAGCTGTTTGGACGCGTCTTTCCCCCAAAAATACTTCCCAAAACCTTGCACCCCACTTCCTGGACAAGGTTTGGTAAAAAGCCTCACCAATTTGCCTAGGTGACTACAGACCCAGACCCTTGGATCTTAAGAACAATGAACAATCCTCCCAACACTTGCACCCCCCCTTTCCTGGGAAATGTTGGATAAAAAGCCTCACCAATTTGCATAGGTGACCACAGACCCAAACCCTTGGATCTGAGAACAATGAAAAAGCATTCAGTTTTCTTACAAGAAGACTTTTAATAAAAATAGAAGCAAATAGAAATAAAGAAATCCCTCCTGTAAAATCAGGATGGTAGATATCTTACAGGGTAATTAGATTCAAAAACATAGAGAACCCCTTTAGGCAAAACCTTAAGTTACAAAAAAGATACACAGACAGAAATAGTTATTCTATTCAGCACAATTCTTTTCTCAGCCATTTAAAGAAATCATAATCTAACACAGACCTAGCTAGATTACTTACTAAAAGTTCTAAGACTCCATTCCTGGTCTATCCCTGACAAAGACAGACTATAGACAGACACACAGACCCTTTGTTTCTCTCCCTCCTCCCAGCTTTTGAAAGTATCTTGTCTCCTCATTGGTCATTTTGGTCATTTTGGTCAGGTGCCAGCTTCTTAACCCTTTACAGGTGAGAGGAGCTTTCCCCTGGCCAGGAGGGATTTCAAAGGGGTTTACCCTTCCCTTTATATTTATGACAAATATCTAATCACCTTACCAGTTACACCTTTACAAGGTAGCTTGGGTAGAAAGGGCCTGTATTCTGGGGATGGGGTGGTGGTGGGGAGAGTCTCTGAATCTTCTGTTTTTTTTCCAAATGTACATGCAGCATAAAGGAAACAATCAGAATATTGCAGCTCATTTTCAAAAGCAGCCTTAGTTGTACTGTACCTGAACCTTCAGGAGATTATGGAATGCATTTTGTATATGGAGAATGATGCTATTACACAGCTGCTTTATGTTCTTCAAGTGAAGATGCTACTATTAACATTTATTTTCCTTAGGTGAAGAATTCTCTCTGCTCCAGACACTTTTCTCTGTCACCACAGAAAAGAAAGAATTTACATTTAATCTTGCCAATGCCCTCTACCTTCAAGAAGGATTCATTGTAAAAGAACAGTATCTCCATAGCAACAAGAAATTTTTTCAGACTGCTATAAAACTGGTGAATTTCCAAGACACACAAGCTTGCACAGAGGCCATAAGAACCTGGGTAGAAAACAAAACAGATGGTAAACTCTCTCTACAGCTTTCATAAAATCACTGTTTGCTAGTTAAGTTCTTCCCCTTTAATGCCCGAAAATATATAGAACGGGTTGGTGGTTGTATCATTGATCTGTGACAGATATGAGACTTTGCAAGAAGGAATCTGGAAGTTAGTACCTTCTTTCCAATATAGCCTGTTATTAAGACCAGCAACTAGCCCTTAAAAAGAGAAAAATACCAGGCTGTTTGCTAACTCTAATGATCTTCTTTTGATTCACAGTCATGTGAAGCATTTTTTCATAAAATTATTTAGTATGGCATTTTTACACAGCTATAGGTTTTGGGACGCTGGAAATCATCACTCTTTGCCAAGTAGATGATTATTTAATTTGTTAATAACAAGTGCTCCATTTCTCACATTTACTGTAAATCATTAATACATGTTAGCAAAATCTATTAATTTTCAGAACACTATACAGCTGCTAAATAAACTCTGATACTCCAAGTAAATATAGAAGCTAGCCACCAAAGCCCCATGTCCAATGTGAAACGTTCAGGCTTAATTTTACAACAGGGTCCACAGAATTATGTAACTCTGCCTATAAGCCCTCTCTGACCTTCCTTCACCAATTAATATAGTATTCTGTGTGTTATTCTGTTTGATAATGTTCCATTTATTTTATGCTGCTCCTATATTTTAACTCTGATGTGCTGCACATTTTTGTATTGACATCGAATAACTGAACCAAAGAAGTTGCCAGGGGAAAGCTGGAGGTTTTGGAAGCTGGGTATGGGACAAAAGGGATTTTGGTATCTAGGAGTGATAAGTGGTGGGGAGGCTGCTGATATTCTGGAGTCATTTAGCGGGTTGGTACCAGGGAGAGGAGATAATTCTTCCCCTTTCCCTTTCAGACAGGTGGAGAGCTGACTTTAAATCTGGAGGCAAAAGGCATTTGAACGGCTCATTCCTTGCCAAAGCAACTATTGACACCAACTATCTGCTCCACTGTACCCATCCTAATATCTACTGCTCCATTCAACAACAATGGAGAAGCCCATTAGCTTGATATTTCTGCTAAAATAACAATTAAATTACCCACATGTCATTGTTAACACCTCCTTTTAGATAATGTTGTCTGCGGACTCAGATAGACATCTTTACATCGCTTACACTCGATTCATAACATGAAGGTTTTCTTTATAAGGGAAAGATGAAAGTTCATTGAAAAATAAATCCTGCATTCTGGAGCAGAGCTCTGTGATAATATCAAAATAATCTGGAACTCTGCAGGAAAGTATTATATTCCGTATTATACACAAAACCATCCTAACATAATGAACATGCTCTGGTTCCCATTTATGTCAATGGCAAAATCCCATTCACTTCACTGGGACAAAAGTATAATGACAAACTATTCTCTAATGTCAGAGTGCAACAGCCTTTTTTTCAGAGTGTTATCGTAACAGGGAATCTTCAAAATCACAGCTGTATATTACATGCATGCTCATTTTAATTGCGTTTAAGATAGACTAACTGGCGTTTATAGCATCTGAAAATTTTGCTCATGTCCTTTTTTCCCCCCCATAGGCAAAATAAAAAATATTGTTTCAAGTGAAGAATTTGGTCCCCTTACTAGGCTTATTCTGGTGAACGCTATTTACTTCAAAGGAGACTGGACACAGAAGTTCAGACCAGAAGCTACCCAGGAGATGGATTTTACTAAGAGAGATGGTTCTGTAACTAAAATACCAATGATGCATCTTCAGCTGAGAACAAAGTTTGGTAATGTAAAATATGCATGTCTGTGTGGTAACCATAAAATCATATATATTGTCTTAGTGGTTGCAGTTTTCTTACTGAAGCCCATGGTTTTGTATTTATTCTAGGTTATTTTTCTGACAATAATGTGAGCTACCAGGTGTTGGAATTACCTTACAAAGGGAAGGAGTTCAGCTTAGTTTTAACACTTCCTTCAGAAGATGTAACTATAGAAGAAGTAGAAAACCTAATTACAGCTCAGCTGATAAAAAACTGGTTTGCTGAAACACAAGAGGAAGACGTAGAAATAAGCCTCCCTAGGTGTGTAATGTACTTCTCAATATTCTTATTTTTCATTATCCCATCTAATCTTCCGTTACGGAAGCATTAGGGATTAAATACAAAAACAGTCAAGAAAGCCTACTGACGACAGGCCCTGATTCTGCTCCCACTTAAGTCAATGGGAATTTTGTCATTCGTGTCAGTGAACAGAGGATCCGATTGGACCTGATTTTCCACTACCTTGTACCTTGTGTAGACCTTTACACCTGTTCCAAGTAGGTGTGAAATGCTACCGGATCAAAACTCTTCATTCACTTACATGAGTGGTGGCATTTTATACCGGCTTCACTCTCTCTTTGTAAACGAGCCTGGCAAAATGAGAACCCAGGTTTCCTGGATGGCAGAGCAGAGCGTGAACATTGGCTTGGAAGTGTGCCCTCATTTGGTTATTTTAGCCACCAATGATCTAAAAAGGTGCTTTATTTTGTAACACTACATGGACAAATTAAAGTTAAATTAAAGGTTTGCGCTATTTAATATCCACTGGTAAGTACAGCTGCTCTCAATGACGCTTTACATCTTGAGTTTTCGACCACGTAATGCCTCTATGTCTGGTTTCTTTATAATTTTAAACGTTGTCTCCCTTGTGCAAAATAGTAATCGTACGACTATGAAACCCTTAGATGGTGCTTTTCATCCGTATAGCTCTGAACACTTTACAGTAAGTGGGCAAGTAGCCTTTAACTACTTACTCACTACATCGATTAGGAAACGATTAGAGAGGTTAAATGATTTGCCCAGGAGCACACAGCAGTGGGATAGAACCTAGATTTTCTATCTTCCTGCCTCCTGATCTAACCACTAGGCTTGCTGCTTCTATTGATAATCATTTATTGACTGGGAAAATATTGATAGTTATACAATGAGTCTTTTTTCTATACGCTCTATAGGTTTAAAATAGAACAGACAGTGAACTTACAAGAAACGCTGCGCTCCCTCAATGTAACAGAGATATTTAGTGGCGGCTGTGACCTTTCTGGAATAACAGGTGCAGTGATTAACAATTCTGATATTACAATTATGAAACTTTTATCTCTGTTTTCAGTTGTCATCACTTTTTATAATAATGTACTTTAACCATGTACTTTTTGGTATATACTCAAGGCAAAACTGCACGTGCATGCATACACACATCCGTGCGCACACACAAACACAGGAAAATTTTTCCCCCTACCCCTCTACATCAGAGAACAAGGGTGGCTTATTCTTAGATTCATGTTAAAATGTGGGGAGCAAGTGAATTGTAATTTTGAATGTATAGAAGATCTAAGGTTTGAAGTTCATGGACTCCTAATTTCTGGAAAATGTTACACACGTGACCCAATATTGTTTAAGATCTAGATTTCTCAGATCCCAGTGTTCCAACAAGACCATTTTCCTTATATTACGTGAATAATATATGTGTGCATCTACAGACAAGTGTACATGCTATATTTTCAATATACAGTACCTGTCCTTTAGCCTAGACTTTGCTTCTTTGTTTCTTCACCCTTTAACTCATCAAACATTAATGGGAGAGTGGGTGGTGGTGGAAATCGCACATGTATTTTTTGAGGCTGGGAACTAGGAAATGAACATAGAAAGGGTCCTCTGATTTTAACAGTTAAGCATTGTGCATGAGCCTTCATCTCTCAATATAAAATGTAATAATTTATATATTTCCCCTTCAGAATCATCTGACATACACATTTCTAAAGCCATCCAAAAAGTTTGTATTGAGGTAAATGAAGATGGCAGTGAAGCGGCAGCATCCTCAAGTAAGATGTGAATATTTTCTTTGCTTAGGAGAATAAACACTTATCACTCCAATGTATTTTGAACTTGATGCGAGTGGCTCTTGAGTAAATTTTGGATGCAAATCATTTGGTGCACTTTTCACCCATGGTTCTTCCATTTCAAATTAAATTATTAAAATCCATGCAGCAGGCTTACGTGTGTCTGGACTTTATTCCTCAACCCATAATCGGACAAAAAAAATCCAACCTTTACCCACATATTTGGTTATAAGGTGATATTTTTTTCTTCAGTATGCTTACAGTCAAAGGCACCTGTTCTTCCAGAATAAATGATTTTTAAGGCAACTTTTACAAAATGAAAGACTCCGCAACTATTTTTATTCGTAACTTTGTATCAATGCAGGTCATGCAAAATCATCGCCCTATTGTTGTTTTTAAACAGATTTTTGACACTGTACCTATTCTGATTTTCAGTATGTTTTCCTTGTCTCTACCCCCAAAGTAAGCAAATTTTTAAAATATGCATGCCTATGCATGAGTGCAAGGGGGTTAGAGGAAGGACAAAAGGATCTAGTGCAATGCACCTTGTGTAGTGAGAAATCAGAATTTCATGTTTGGTCTTCTTTAATGCAAGCCATAAGGAATCATAGCACTGTCAGGGCCCCGGATCCCATAACATCGATATGAGGTTGGAGTGTGGCTATGCTGCCATCTCCCCAGCCTCCTTCCACACCAGCAGAGACTTTCCAAGGCCAGCTTTTGGGTAGTTATATACATTCCACTCTGTGTGTCATAAGGTGCTCTGCTCTGCACACCACCAAATGCCCTGGCAGCATTTTAATTAAGTCTGTCCTTCACAGGCACAATGTCTCTGGCCATTATCACTGCTGCACCCCTCTCGTCCCTAGTGTTGGGTAGAGCAGTGACTGCTAAAGCTACTGTCAAAGCCTGTATTTTCATATTTGGTGTCCTCTGCAGGAATTGTTTTCTAAGTGTCATGTAGGTCCTAGGAAAAAAATACACCTTGGACTATTTATTTTTAGGGGTTTTTAATTTAATATATGTTTGATTTGGATTTTGAACACACACACTAAAAACACAGCTAACAAAGTTAGGTAATAATAGCAAATTCTGCATCGTGTACCTTCATGGACCATAATGCAGTTACTCTTGCTGTTTGTTAATGTATGTGAGAGGAGAATTTGGTGCATTGTGTCTCAACTCAGCACTTAGTAAAGAAGAATATTGGAAGCAATCCGCTTGCTAGCAGCTATTAAATGAATTCATAGCTCCCAGACACGCTACTTGAAAGTGTTCTCTATATTAAGTATTAATAAATAATCTGTCCCTGGATTGAACAACACTAATTGAATTACACAGTGCATATGATACTTATAACACTATCTGCTGGAAGTCAGAGTTTGCTCCCACACCGAGTATACCATCTATTATGTTTTTTGGTTCCTGTCCTCATTTTCTTTCCTCATAGTGTTCCTACCAAGTGTTTCTTAAAGCCTAAATATCCCCTCTCAGTTTTTGCATCTACTTTTTTCTGTATCAGAAGGATGACTGGAGAGTGGGGTGGGAGGAGGTATTTTTTCATGCTTTGTGTGTATATAAAAAGATCTTCTACACTTTCCACAGTATGCATCCGATGAAGTGAGCTGTAGCTCACAAAAGCTTATGCTCAAATAAATTGGTTAGTCTCTAAGGTGCCACAAGTACTCCTTTTCTTTTTGCGAATACAGACTAACACGGCTGTTACTCTGAAACCTGTTGTAACATTAGGTATTTTGGTGGACAGTTATTGACTGGCATATGCTCAGATATTACAGTGATGAGGAGGGCATCGTCGTATCAAAGCAACTCAAAATCATTAACTACTCCCACCAAAATGACCAGTGTTGTGACAACCATCCTGTTGAAGATGGTTCCTTCTGAGCTCATCAACGTCACTCTCAAAGTGGCTAATGAGTGATAAAAGGCTCTGTTCTGCAAAGGTTGAGTTCTCGGTCTTCTCAATTTTCCCAGTTGCTGCTGACCCAGGAGCAAAGGATTTGAATTCTGCTCCCTCACATAGTAACAAGTGCTAGACTGCTGGGCCCAGCCTGTTGGCACTGAAGTTGTATTACACTGCATGACAAAGTTCATCTTGTCTTTATGATAATTTCTGCTCTAGCTTTTAGGAGTGGCAAAATTCCATATTGGCTGCTTATGAAGCCCTTTGTAATGGAGATGATTTACTGTATCTAGCAAGGATGTTAATATGAAACAGAAGATAACCTGATTTTATTTTAATGACAGCCTTGCAGTGTCATATCTTAATTCTTAACCAGCCCATTTTAGTGGTAAACCATTGTTCTTGAGCACATATATCACTGCTTAAATGAGCCATTTTAAGCTTTCAGTTTGACAGATGCCTGCTAGGAAGATAATAACTATAGTTAAAGAATATAGTTACAATATTCCATTCAGATGAGTTTTAAAATGAAATGCCACATCTTGAGCTGAAGAAGGTAAAGTCTCAAGATATATCCAGCAGGTTATTATCTTAATAGTTTGTGCTAAGTCCTCAAAGAAAATGTCATATTACAAAGCAGCTGTATAATAGATGAGTGATTTGTTCTTGTAATTGTGCAGTTGTCTTTATGATTTGTAACTAAAGAAAAAATCCAGTTAAAATACGTTTGTCATTTGGTAATCAAGAACAGCAGTTCATCCAGTGTGTGTGTGTGTCTCCGTGAAAGGCATTTTACATAGATTTATCACTTCTCCTTACTACACCATATACTAGACACCTGACATAATGGGACAACAGTTGATCTGTTATAGCAAAATCTCTTCCGTAAGAATGACTAATATTTCTAATCTGTGATGTAGAAATCCAGCCCATGGACCATATACAGCCAATCTCCATGGCCACAGAAGGCCTCTGGTACCAGAATGGGTGTGGTTCCTTTATGCTGGGGGGAGGTGACTGGCTGTATGGTACAGAGGCTAGCTTTGCTTATGCTCCCTACACAGTGACTCATTCAATCCCCTGGACATTAGAAAATAACCTGTTTCAGTCACTGGCCTCAGGTAGCTCCGTTCCCCCGCTCCACACAGGGTGGCTTCTTAGCAGCTTCCTTGGCTTGCGGGGAGGATGCCTTCTTTACCCCAAAGACACTCCTCCAGCACCCAGACCTTCTGCTTAGGCTTTGTGTTGGGCAGAGGATTTATCCCTAACAGAAAGTCTATTGCTTTGTGTTTGTAGGCACGCAGATGGCAGCGATCATGAGCATGTCACATAACCAGTTTGTGGCTAACCGCCCATTCCTATTTATCCTGAAACATAATCCAACAGGTAAGTTATTGCAATTACACTCCCTCTCCTGGGATTTTTCAAAGGGATAGGTGTCAGATAGCACTAGCCCAAAATGTGGCTTTTGTGGGGAAAATATGGAAAATAAAATTAAGAAAAAATGTTCTTGTTTGTATTTAAACATTCCTGGGCAGCGTCTGCAACCCAACCAGGACCGCACATTGTACTAGTGTGGGGGAACAAGGAAGTGAAATGGACTAGGAAACTTCTCATTACAAATAAAAGTGAAACTGATTAGTCTGACTATTAGAGAAACAAGGTGAGTGAGGTAATATCTTTTATTGGACCAACTTCTGCTGGAGAGAGAGAGACAAGCTTCTTGTGTAAGCTCGAAAGATTCCCTCTTACCAACAGAAGTTGGTTCAATAAAAGATATTACCTCACCTATACTGTATTTATAATATCCTAGGACCAACACAGCTACAACAACACTGCATAGTCTGACCATTATCTAAGATAAGTGAAATGCAAAAAGAAAAACAGTAAAAAGAAAACTAAGTACTATTAACAAGGAAATTAGGAAAGCTGTTGGTTTGAATTTGTGTCTCTTTAACAAGGTCTGTAAATTTCATATATATTCACATTCAGACCATTCTCTGTCTTCATTTTATCTTCTCACATATGTGTTTCAAACTCCAGGCCTGACAGCCTGATGTGGCTTTAATCTATTAATCCAGACCCCACACTGGTTGAAAATTCTTCAGAATTTCTACTTTCTTTACCTGTTCTCTGCTCCTGACAGTCCTTATGTCCTGTTGAGCCCCACTGAACCTTAGATGAGCAGCCATTATGCCGGTAGGCCTAGCTTCAATCTCTCTGAAAACAGTGGGAGGTGGAAGCCAATTTTATTCAGGGCAGCTTCCCTTCCACATGCAGATAGGCTGTAGGGAAGTGGCAGCCATCTTGCTAGCTTCAGCTCCATTGACAGGTAGGAAAACACCCAATGTCACAATAGGATTGTGAGATTTAGTATGGTTGTCCATTCAGCCAGCACGTCTACTGGTCAGGGCCTGCTGCTTTAGTCTCTTTTTTAGTTCAATGTGTCAGGGACAGGGTTCAGAGGGGTCAGCTTTCTTATCAGTAACTCCCTAGTCCTGCCCGTCTCAGGGCAAGGCATAGGTGAATCTTATGTGGGTAAGGGGACCCAGTCTCTCACTCCTCCAGATTCTAGCCAAGTGTGACAGCTCAGGCTGACCTATGCTTTGCCCACCTCTTGTTCACCTCACTGTGGGCCACTCCTTACCCCACCTGATGTCTCAGTTTGGGGCGTGGCTGCTGTTTGATTACAGTCCTTTGCTCGAAACCCTGAGTCTCAGGGCTGACGCACGCAGGCAACCCTTTGGTGCCCTGTACATGGTTCTCCCTGCCTCTTGGATGATGTCTCAAAGAAGTGGGAGAAAGATTCATTGCAAGACCTCCTCAGTAAAAGCTCCTCCTCCTGGAAATGATTTCTCTCCTCCCCTCCGCCTGGGTTGCTGGAGCTCTTTTTATAGTGCTAATGTCCCCAAACAAATGCTTGGCAGTGCCCGAGAGGCAGCTCTTTCCTGGTTCAGTACTGCTCCAGCCTTTCCCCTGCCTCCACCTTAGTGAGGGGTTTGTAAACCCCATCACACGAAAGCTGACAATACTGCTGATGTCAATTAGCAGCAGCGTAACAGAGCAGAATTTGGCCTAGTATAGCCAAAAGGTATCCCCTTCACCTCAGTAGGATAATAAATATCAACATTAACTATTTAACTGCTGATCACTTCAGCAGAAATATAGATAGTGGTTGGATGTAGGCAGGGATCAATATAGGAGGACTGGACAAAGGCAGTTGGCATTCCGCTTCATATTCACATCAATTTTAAAAGTACACTGCTATAAGCAGTGGAGTATGTGGTGCTTTCACTTCATTTCCTGTCTCTTAATGCTTGTCCTCTGAGCTCTCTACCTCCCCCCCCCACGGGTAGGGGCTCAGAGAACAGATACTGTTCTGTACACAGAACCCAATAAAGAGCTGAATTTATGGTAGTCCTAAACATGATTTTCATTCTCCACCAATCAAGTGGTACTGAATGCAACGTCTAACTTTGCTAACTAAAATATTAGTTACTACCTAAGTACCATATTTTTCCCCTCAGTCACTTTGCAAAACTTCTAGACATATATGTGTGGATTGAGAGCAGGATATTGCCCGAGCTTTGTAGCCCTGACCTAAGTGTATTAATTTAAAAAAAAAATGTAATTCAGCCATTTCCACAGAATGAATGTGGCACCCCTATTCTAATGATTTTGGAGGAAAGTTTGTTCATGGAGGCTAATATAGTTATTTAAAAGTTGGGCATGACAGAATCCATAAGTATCTTTTAGATAAGCTTTGTGTCTGAAACTATTGTTTTGAAGTTATGTGAAATCAGTTTGGTTTTAAGAATGTTTTATTTTTTACTAGTAATAGACTCCATAATTCTATAGGTAGTAGGTCCCAGCAGAAGTTTTAGGTCAGCTTCTTGCGTTAATATTTTAGCTTTAGTTCTTTTCACATCATCATTTTTCTTGATTTTTTCCTTTCTACTGGTCATCATAAATGATTCTGCTGAACTAAGATCCTTTAAACCCCTTCCAGACAGAGCACTTATTTTCCAGAAATATTCAAAGCTAAGACCATGTATCCATCCCCCCCATGCATAGGAGTCAATTGAGGAAGACCAGTTTTGATTTTAACCTTTAGATAGTGCAAATTCCTTAGAACAAATACATTTCATAAACCTCATGAATCAAAGAAGCATGTGGCATTGATGCAATGGGAAATCATAACATTCAAAATAAACCTTTTTGATTTCATTACCACATGGCAGCAGTTATTGGTTATTTTGTATTACAGAGCCATGTGATGGCAATCAGCACACAAAAGTGTGTGGGGCAGGGAATACCAGGGGAAAATTCCTCTTTTTTTTTTTAAGCTATAACTTTTTAAAAACAATGTGTTTAATGAAAATCTCTACTGTTTTACAATCTGCGCCGAAATTAAAATGTCAAAACTAAATCTCTAATTAAAGGAGTATCTAAGATGAGTGACAACTCATTTATAGGAGATGGTAATGGCTGCCATAAAAGAGGGAAAATTACTGTTATTTTTAACAATTACACAATCAGTAGTTTGTTATAGCAACTTTGGAAAGGAGTTTCAGGAAATCTGTCATAATGATAGGCATTTGAAGACCAATATAGGCCTGATTCATGCCTGACCTAAATAGGATGTATGGGCCGAATTATTATTTTGGAATATTTGTATCAATTCCCTGTCTTCTGATGAAATAATCCCCTTTCCTGGAGGCTGCTATACTGCCCTTCCCACATACGATTTGTCTGAACACTCATCCTGGAGAGAAGATGAGAGAGAGAATAAATTACACATGACAGAGGTTAATTATGTCACTTAATGCTCTAAAGAAAGGCGTTCAGATATTACAGTGATGTGGAGTGATAGGAGAACAGTAGCCATCACAGTTAGTGAACACCAGTCCCAGACATGTAACAGGAGTATTAACCTTCTGTAACTCTGAACCATGTCAGACATCAGCAAATTAGGTTCAATCTCTTGAATATACAGTACATATAGCACTGGTAAAAAAGAGCTTCAAGGACTCCCATAAATAGTGAAAACCAGAGACTGCTGGGAGAAGAATCTGAATATGTAAATAACTCAGTCAGATATTTCCATTTAAAAATAAAATTAGAGATGCTCAAATGTGCAAAAATAAAAATTAAATAAATAAATGACCCAACCTTAGATCAACTTGAGAGAGTAATTTGAGACGGATGGCCAACAGGAAAAGCCATGGCGATCAGGAGAATAAATTGCTGTGCGAGATAAGAGTCTGGATAAATAACATTGTATCACAACACTGAATAGCATGGGGACAAAAATGCTAAATACAGACACAGCCTAACTGGGCAATGTGAAGAGAGGACCTTTTCTGGCCTTATATGAATGCTGTAATCCAAGATAAGTTATCTAAGTTGTAAATCTTCAGTGAATTCACATGCAAAAGAACCAGTGAATCTACATGGGATTTTTGGTAAACATCTCTAATTAAATGGGAAAGATATGACCTCTTACTAATGGACTACTATCTGGGTTTTTAAAAAGTTTAAGCACACAGCACACTGCATAACAACTTAATGTTTTATAAATGTCAAGGAAGCAGGGTCTGCCATGGCTGAGAACCAATGCCTTTTGAGTAGCCTCTGAGGAGGAGATGTAGAGGCAGCTCTGTGAAAAGACTTCCTCCCCCAGAGCCAGACTTCCATTTCGAATCTGACACTTGTCCTGGGTAGTGACTTTACTGCAAAAAGAGATTTCCAGTTGGGGAGAAAAATGGGATTTTACTATGTATAATACTAGAGTCAAACTGAAATGGCCTTTGGCAATAGCAGGAAGTCACAAAGAGGTCATACCACAAAGGGATTCGTTCCTGAGGCAAAGTAAAAAGTCTTTAATAATGGTAAACTATTCCGGTGTGTGTGTGTGTGGGGGGGGGGGGGGGGTAAAATTCCCTAGGTTTTGTAGTCTGAGTTATTGGAGCTGTCAGCAAGTAACAGGAAGAGACTTGAGGCACAATAGGGCATATACTGTAAAAATGTCAAACCCAGGGGTAAGGATAAGATTTTTGTCACAGAGGTTATGAAAATCATGGCCTCTGCGACTTTGAGGACTCCGTGACATTTTCTGTTTCAGCCTCATGCCCTGGGGTAGCAGGGGCCTCACAGCTCCCAGCTGCTGGCCCCAGAGGTCTGAGTTGTCACAGGTGGCGGGTGCCCTTGAGCTCTGAGATGCCAACCCTGAGCTGCTGTGGGCGGCAGGGGCCTGGAGCTACTGGCAGTTAGTGCTCCCCCCCCCCCAACCTTATTTTTAGTAAAACTCAGACAGGTCATGGGCTTCCGTGAATTTTTTTTATTGCCCATGACCTGTCCGTGAGTTGTGTTAGTGAATTCACTTCAACAAAAAACAAAACAAAACCGACTCCAATGAGACACTGCAGAATTGGAATTAATTTCCAAACTGGACACCATCAAATTAGGCTTGAATAAAGACTGGGAGTGGATAGGTCATTACACAAACTAAAAACTATTTCCCCATGCTAATTTCCCCCCCTACTGTTACTCACACCTTCTTGTCAACTGTTTGAAATGGGCCATCCTGATTATCACTACAAAGGTTTTTTTAATCCTGCTGATAATAGCCCACCTTAATTGATTTGTCTGGTTAAGGTTGGTATGGCAACCCCCATCTTTTCACGTTTGACCTACCTACCGTGTTTTCCACTCCATGCATCTGATGAAGTGGGTTTTAATCTGTAGTGATGGGACGACTCACCGACACGGCACCTCCTACTGGTCATCTGGGAGGTCGCTCTTTTCCAGCTTTTGAGCACCCTCTGCAGGCCAGTGTCTCGCCTGCCACTGCCCTCCCCACCCCATGTCCCTCCTGGACCCCAGTGCCCCTTTACCTTGGGGTGCTGCTCCCTGGCAGTGCCCCCACACTCTAGGTCTCCCCTTCCAGGGGAACCTCCAACCCTCTATTCCCACCTTGCCTCAGTGGCTACTGCCAGTCCTCATCTAGCCCCTGCTCACTGGGGCAGACTACAGTCTGTCATGGCCACTCATCATTGGCAAGGAGGTTGGAGAAGTTGCTTCTGCCTATTCCCAGGCTGTACCTCTGTAGCCCCAGTACGTTTGTAGGCCTTCACGAAGGCCTGCAGGTCCCCAGCTCCCTTTGCCCTTTTCTATTGCTCTGCTCTAGGTAGCTTGCTCCCAGGGCCAGAGTGAGACTCCTTCTGCTCCTGGACCTCAGCCCTCTTATCAGGGCCAGCTGAGCCCTAATTGAGCTGGCCACATTTGTGGCCAACTACTCAGGTGCTTTCACTCCTTTTCCCAGCCACAGCCCTTTCCACGGCTACTTTTAGTATTGGCTCCCCAGGGCAGCCCTCTCCCAGGGCTGTTTTAACCCCTTCAGGGCCGGAGCGAGGTGACCACCCAACTACATAGTCTCTAAGGTGCCACAAGTACTCCTCGTTCTTTCTACCACAACTGACCATAATAAAATCTCTGGTACACAAGAAAAAAAGCAATCGCCGTTACAGAACTACACATACACCATACTGTATGTACATGCAAAGAAAGTATGATACAAAATAGTGTATCTTAAGTATTCCAAGCCATACAATTGTAGCTTAGATATAAATGAAATTTTATATGTTTAGCATAGGATTTCTTCTTCATAAAAATAATAAGGGCTTGCAGGATCAGTTTGGCCAGATAGGGGAATAGAATTTAATGTTGTTTGTGTCACTACATTTAACTCTGACATATTTTCTATTGACAGAGAAAAGTAGGAATAGATGAAAAAAGTTATGTTCTTATTCTTAATAATTGGTACTGAAATCCACACTAATGCTTACCAGCAAACATATGTAATATTCTTTCAATTTCTAGGTTCAATTGTGTTTATGGGAAGGCTGGCAAATCCTGACATTCAGAACACAAGGAGAAGAGATATGGAGTCACTATAATCATAACAAAGGCAGAAAAAATGTAATGTTCTAAAATTAAAGTCTGATCATTATTGCAGCCAAACTTGCTGTTTTTCCTTTTCATTCTTTCAATGCTAGAGCATGAAGAAGTTTGAAATTTCAGAATAAAAATGTTATTTGCTTAGTAGCTGATTTTCTGACTTCACAAAGACAGAATGATTTTGTGTTCCTTGTAGAGCCTATACTAAGATGACTAACAACAAGATTTCTTTGTAATGTGTGTATATTAAAACATACTTAATCTAGTCACTTCTCAACATGTATCTAATTCTCTCTGTTCTCAGCTTCTTGGAATGCGAAGAGGTAGTCTGATCTTATCCTCTGATGGAAAGATCTTATATTAATTTTCAGACAATACTCTGTCCACTTTTGTTGTACTTTGAGAACTAATGCTTTAGCATGATTGTTACCCTAGCATGCCACCAGAGAAGATCATTTTCATTGCATTATGGGACAAAAGAGGACTCTAGTGGTGTTAGTGATACAATATATGTTTTTGTGTTTTTTTACAGGCACTCTTACAATTTCTCTCATATTAATCTCTGATAGTGGGGTGCAAGGTTTTGGGAAGTATTTTGGGGGGAAGGATGCGTCCAAACAGCTCTTCTCCAGTAACTAGTATTAGTTTGGTGGTGGTAGCGGCCAGTCCAAGGACAACGGGTGGAATATTTTGTACCTTGGGGAAGTTTTGACCTAAGCTGGTAAAGATAAGCTTAGGAGGTTTTTCATGCAGGTCCCCACATCTGTACCCTAGAGTTCAGAGTGGGGGAGGAACCTTGACATGGTGGGAACCTTGCACCCCACTTCCTGGACAAGGTTTGGTAAAAAGCCTCACCAATTTGCCTAGGTGACTACAGACCCAGACCCTTGGATCTTAAGAACAATGAACAATCCTCCCAACACTTGCACCCCCCCTTTCCTGGGAAATGTTGGATAAAAAGCCTCACCAATTTGCATAGGTGACCACAGACCCAAACCCTTGGATCTGAGAACAATGAAAAAGCATTCAGTTTCTTACAAGAAGACTTTTAATAAAAATAGAAGCAAATAGAAATAAAGAAATCCCCCCTGTAAAATCAGGATGGTAGATATCAGGGTAATTAGATTCAAAAACATAGAGAACCCCTCTAGGCAAAACCTTAAGTTACAAAAAAGATACACAGACAGAAATAGTTATTCTATTCAGCACAATTCTTTTCTCAGCCATTTAAAGAAATCATAATCTAACACATACCTAGCTAGATTACTTACTAAAAGTTCTAAGACTCCATTCCTGGTCTATCCCCGACAAAGACAGACTATAGACAGACACACAGACCCTTTGTTTCTCTCCTTCCTCCCAGCTTTTGAAAGTATCTTGTCTCCTCATTGGTCATTTTGGTCAGGTGCCAGCGAGGTTACCTTTAGCTTCTTAACCCTTTACAGGTGAGAGGAGCTTTCCCCTGGCCAGGAGGGATTTCAAAGGGGTTTACCCTTCCCTTTATATTTATGACACACCCCCCAAATCTCAGCTAGGGTGAAACACTGGCTGGGATTTCTTCCTGGAGCTCTAGGAAAAACAGAGTTAATAAGACACATGCATCTCTAAATATACTACCAAGTACATAAAGACTAACAATATTTTCCACATCTCAATGACGATTTTAACCAGTTGATTCTGGGAAACTTTCACGGGAGAGTGCATCAGCCACTTTGTTAGAAGCTCCTGAGATGTGTTGGATGTCGAAATCAAAATCTTGGAAAGCTAAACTCCACCGAAGAAGTTTTTTGTTAGTTTCCTTGACGGTGTGAAGCCACTTCAGTGCAGCATGGTCGGTTTGCAGGTGGAAACGCCGTCCCCAAACATATGGGCGTAGCTTTTCCAGAGCGTAGACAATGGCGTAACATTCTTTTTCAGTGACTGACCAGTTGCTTTCCCTCTCACACAGTTTTTTGCTGAAAAACACTACAGGGTGGAATTCTTGATCAGGTCCTTTCTGCATTAAAACTGCTCCCACACCACGCTCGGACGCATCTGTGGTTACTAGGAATGGTTTGTCAAAGTCTGGGGCCCTTAGTACAGGGTCAGACATGAGTGTCGCTTTAAGCTTGTTAAAGGCCTTCTGACACTTTTCGGTCCACTGAACAGCATTTGGCTGTTTCTTTTTGGTTAGGTCTGTCAGTGGGGCGGCGATTTGGCTGTAGTGCGGTACAAATAGTCTGTAATAACCGGCCAAGCCTAAGAAGGATTGAACCTGTTTCTTTGACTTTGGGACAGACCACTTTTGGATAGCATCCACTTTGGCCTGTAGGGGGCTGATAGTTCCTTGACCCACCTGGTGTCCAAGGTAAGTCACTCTGTTTAGGCCTATTTGACACTTCTTAGCCTTAACAGTTAGTCCTGCCTCCCTTATGCGCTCAAGGACTTTTTGTAGATGTTCCAGGTGGTCTGCCCAGGAATCCGAAAATATGGCCACATCGTCAAGGTAGGCGACTGCATATTCTCCTATTCCCCCTAGGAGACCATCTACAAGTCTTTGGAAAGTGGCGGGTGCATTTCGCAGCCCGAAAGGGAGTACATTAAATTCATACAGCCCGAGATGTGTGGTGAAGGCTGACCTTTCCTTGGCAGATTCATCTAGCGGTACCTGCCAGTACCCCTTGGTTAAGTCCACGGTAGAGATGAACTGGGCCCGTCCCAGTTTCTCTAATAGTTCATCTGTGCGTGGCATTGGATAGTTGTCTGGGCGAGTTACAGCATTTAGCTTACGGTAGTCCACGCAAAAACGTATTTCCCCATCTGGTTTGGGAACTAGAACCAATGGAGATGCCCATGCACTTTCAGAGGGGCGGATTACACCCATCTGTAACATATCCTGGATCTCCCGTTCTTTAGCAGTTTTAGCTTGAGGAGACACCCGGTAAGGTTGGACCCTAATTGGGTGAGCATTACCTGTGTCAATGGAGTGGTATGCCCGTTCAGTCAGTCCTGGGGTGGCTGAGAATGTTGGCGCGTAGCTAGTGCACAGCTCCTGGATCTGCTGTCGATGCATACGCCCAAGGGTCATGGAGAGGTTCACCTCTTCCACACCACCACCACATTTCCCTTTGTAGTAGACACCATCGGGCCACTCAGCGTCGTCTCCTCCGTGGGCTGTAAACTGACAAACCTTTAATTCTCTGGAATAAAAGGGCTTTAGAGAATTAATATGGTACACCGTAGGCTTTCGGTTGGAGGTGGGGAATGCTATGAGATAATTAACAGCTCCCAGGCGCTCCTGGACCGTGAATGGCCCTTCCCACGATGCTCCCATTTTATGGGCCTGGAGCGCCTTTAAGACCATGACCTGGTCTCCTACTTTGAAGGAACGCTCTCTGGCATGTTTATCATACCAGGCTTTTTGCTCTTTTTGAGCATCCTGTAAGTTTTCTCTAGCAAGGGCTAAAGAGGTTCGGAGGGTGTTTTGTAGGTTGGTTACAAAGTCCAGAATGTTAGTTCCTGGAGAAGGTGTAAATCCCTCCCATTGCTGCTTCACCAACTGCAATGGCCCCTTAACCTCACGGCCATATACAAGTTCAAATGGGGAAAACCCTAAACTGGGGTGTGGTACAGCTCTGTAGGCAAAGAGCAACTGCTGCAACACTAGGTCCCAATCATTGGAGTGCTCATTTACGAATTTACATATCATGGCCCCCAAAGTTCCATTAAACTTCTCCACCATGCCATTTGTTTGATGGTGGTAAGGAGTGGCAACCAAGTGATTTACCCCATGAGCTTCCCAAAGGTTTTTCATAGTTCCTGCCAGGAAATTAGTCCCTGCATCTGTGAGGATGTCGGAGGGCCAACCTACCCTGGCAAAAATGTCTGCTAGTGCCTGGCACACACTTTTAGCCCTGGTGTTGCTTAGAGCTACTGCTTCCGGCCATCGGGTGGCAAAATCCATGAAAGTCAGTATGTACTGCTTTCCTCTGGCTGTCTTTTTCAGAAAAGGACCCAGAATATCCACAGCTACTCGCTGAAATGGAACTTCAGTGATGGGGAGTGGCTGGAGAGGGGCTTTGACCTGGTCTTGGGGTTTTCCCACTCTTTGGCACACCTCACAAGACTGGACATAGGTAGAAACATCCTTGCCCATTCCCTCCCAGTGGAATGACCCCCCCAAACGGTCTTTGGTCCGGTTCACCCCAGCATGGCCACTAGGGTGATCATGGGCTAAGCTCAAGAGCTTGGCCCGGTATTTAGTTGGAACTACCAACTGTCTCTGAGGATGCCAGTCTTCCTGGTGTCCACCAGAAAGAGTTTCCTTGTATAAAAGTCCTCTTTCTATAACAAACCTGGATCGATTAGAAGAGCTGAGAGGCGGTGGGTTGCTCCGTGCCGCCGTCCAAGCTCTCTGGAGGCTTTCATTTGCTTCCTGTTCAGTCTGGAACTGTTCCCTTGATGCTGGAGACATCAGTCCCTCATGGGATTGTGGACCTAGGCTTGGTCCCCCTGGAAGCGATATAGGGGATGGAGCTGTTTCTGCTGACTGTGAACCGCTCTCCGCTGGTGCACTATGTTGGGATTCAGGCTCCGGCTGAGCCTCTTGTGTAGGGTTATCGGCTGCTGCCAGTTCAGGTTCGGTGGGGCCCTCTGGTGTTGAGGTTGCAAGTACTGGATTCAGTGCTGGCACGGGGTCTGGTGTTGGTTGTTCGGCTGGTTCCGGTTCTGGGACTGGTTCCGTCTGGGTCTCTGGGACTGGATCCACTACTGCTGTTGCAGACATTGGCCTGGGGTCCGGGTCCATCACCTCTGACTGGGTCCTGATAGAAGTTTCCGGAACAGAGCTAGGCCTCACGGCTTGTTTAGCCTGGCTGCGGGTGACCATTCCCACCCTCTTGGCCTGCTTCACATGATTGGCCAAGTCTTCCCCCAACAGCATGGGGATGGGATAATCATCATAGACTGCAAAAGTCCACATTCCTGACCAGCCCTTGTACTGGACAGGCAACTTGGCTGTAGGCAAATTGAAAGAGTTGGACTTGAAGGGTTGAATCGTCACTTGGATCTCTGGGTTGATTAAATTGGGGTCCACTAAGGAAGCATGGATAGCTGACACTTGTGCTTCGGTGTCCCTCCACGCGGTGACCTTCTTCCCGCCCACACTCACAGTTTCCCTCCGCTCCAAGGGTATCTGGGAGGTATCTGGGCCTGTGGAC